GCAAAAATCTCGTTCTCCAGGCAAACTAGGCTATTTCTGGTTTCCTAACTCTATTACGCTAAAAGAAGTCAAACATTTAGAAACAGAGAGCAAAACACAAGCATTTAATTTGCARCAAGTACCATCCCTTCCAAGCCTGGAGTTGGAGCGGCTTAACAAACACCAACTTTTTAAGCCTTTCACAAACTGGGTGCTACAGGTCACTCGGCCTCATTCTCCTCTTTCAGGTCAGGACACTCCACATCTCCCTCTTGCACCATCTGTATTTTTTCTACATTGACTTCCTAAATCAGCATTCCTTGCAATAGGAATAGCCGGGGGTAAAACGCTCCCTGCTCTCCAGCTCTTGCGCTGGGCTGGGATTAGAAGCGGCTCCTCCCGGGCCTGACGACTGCAGGCTGCCTGTGCAGGAGGAAAGTCGGGAATTCCTTTTCCTCATGCTAACGGGACATCKGAAACACGGGCACGTAGCAGGAGCCCTGGTGTTGCGGGCGGCAACGACTGCAGCRGGAAGTACAAAAAAGCAGCGGGAAACTATTCAAAACATGCATCAAAATGAGCTTGCTAAAATACAGGGAGGAGGAGCAGGAAAGCAGGATGACAAAAGGAGCAGACACCACGTAAGAAGAAACTGGGAACAGCTGGAGATCTTCTCCCTGCCAAAGGGAAAGGCTAGAATTTGGCTACTCTTGATCTAYAGTAAAATGTGAGTTCTGCTGGTAACCCAGCAGAAAACCCTTGGTAAAAGGAAGGGAGGCAAAAACCCCCTTCCATGAGCAGGAGATCAACAGGAGCGAACTCAAAAGTTGCCTGGAGAACCTACCGATATAGGAATGAGAGGAGCAACACTCAAGCTGTTCCGAAAAAGATGCTTTTTTAAATGGCTTTCCACAAGAAAAACCAAGGCCCTTTGCTCTAGTCTGCTAAATGACTCTTCACACTTGAATGTAAAAACTAAACAGGATTAAAAGGACACAAAACCAACGCTGCTTATTCAGATTCACTCCAGGCCAAGTGACTGGTTCGGCGCCAACGAGCAGAAAGACAGTTTTAGGCTATTAGACAGCAAGTAGCTTCTCTCACACTGCAGGCAATATATCATTATCCTTGTAATTACATTTAGTGCAAGGCTTTCTGCAGGTCTTACCTAGCTTTGCACTTTCTTCCCTTTCCTTTGGTGACATTGCAATTAACCATAAAGTGGCCACTCATCTACAGGGCTTTTTCATTCGACTCTTTGTTTTAGACCGGGGCTCAGAGGCAAAAGCCTAAGAGGTTTTTTGGTAGGAATGCAATGAGAATCTTGGAACAAGTCAGGATCTAAAGGCAAGATCTGATAGGGTTTTTGTTATTATTTGTTGCACGTTTCAAACCTTGTTAAAATCATCTTTTTTTTTCAGATATAGCACCCRAGTACTCAATAACAGATCACATTCCACAGTTACACTGAGCTATCAAGCAGTTCTTAGGTATTAAGCTTGGTCAAGTGTTCATCAGCTTCCAACCTTCCCCCAGGAGCTGCACGTAGCTCTCCCTCCATTCCTTTTGCTGCATTCCTTCCTTGAAGCCTAAAGCACTGGGGGYACATACCAAGAAGTGCACAGTAATAGAAATTTTACCAAAATACTGCAGTATTTTTATCGTGTGAGGAATGTATTGTCAGAACRGGTGACTAGTTTATGGTTGGAAGCATAAGCACTAAGAACTCCTATTTTAGCCATATTAGCCTAATTACTATTGTTCATACCTATTGTTTTTGCAAACCTTAGGATGCTCAACGTCCCTTAYAGCCCGGGGCAGAAGTTTGCACAGATAAATTCACTTCTATTTCCATCGCCAAGAGGAAGACAGCAGCAGCAGACAGATCCCGCAAGCAGAGCCCAGCTTGAGGCAATCACTTGGCCAGGACGAGCTGCAATTTTGTCCTCTTTAAAGTGGAAAAAATGAATGTCCGCAGGCTCCCTCCTTGCTCTGCTTCGCTCTCCCGAGCCACAGCGYGGATGCCAGCGGAGCCAGCACCCGTGCGGAGTGTTCAGCTCCGTACAAAAGGAACTGCACCGACAGGAGCGAGGGAACGATGCCGGCAGGAGGTCACTAGCGATGCTTAACCCTCCACTCGGGAGGCTGCCCTTTCCTAAGGGCTCTGCAGGGAGCACTGTGTGTGGGAGGCCTAAGTGCATCCCAGGGGACTGCCAGGATGGATCCTGGAGTGCAGGGGTCCTGGGATGCGCCTGGAACCGCAGTGCATCTCCGAGGAAGAGCCTGCTGGGGAAAGGAGGCGAGGGCACCTCTGGGGCCACCGGCTGGAGCCGGGCACGCAGAGCTGCAGCTCCCTCCTCTTGGGGACGGCATCCTGCAGCCTGGGACAAAACGGACACGACCACCCTGTTTAACAGCGCCTGAGAAAGGGTAACGGACCAGGAGGAAAACAAGGAGCCCCGGGAAAGGCGCCGGAGACAGCGAGTGCCCACAGCAAGAGGCTGTCCCTTTAACACCCCTCCCTTGGCTAGCAGCACGGGGAACACATCCCACTCCAGGTTGCCAGCAAGGGCTGCAGTGACCTTTGCACGGCTCATCTCTGCAGAGCACACACGAGTCCTGTTCCCAAAGCACACAATTAACACTCTTTTTGAGGGGTTTTTTTCCCCCAGTTTGCACAAGTTTAGTTTCTCCTGATTTTTTAAAAAGTCTTTTTGCTGTGTGATTTTTGCAGTCAAAATTGAAGATTCATGACAAACATTTGGGGGATGAAGCTCTTTTTCCCCTCTCCACAAGCAAGCTCCGCACTCTCTGAGTAGTTCCAAGTCATCATTAACCATCCTCCATTCAAAGGCTACATCAGCCTCGAAAAAAAAGTCCTTTACATCCTTAAATGATATCATTTCCATCGACCACAAGAGAGTTTTTAAGTACCTGGCAGGTATCATATTTAATGGCCAGCTAACAACTAACTGCGGACACCTCCGTTTGGGGGAACAGAGAAACCTGGATAGAGCAGCTACTCCTTCATAATAAAACCAGAAATAGGAGCTTACAGACAAGGAAACCCAGACACACAGCCCAGTGTCTGTGCATCTACAGTGGCAGAAATGGAATGGGAACCTCCCGCAAGGAAAAGCTCCGGAGTGCAACTGCTCAGGCAGAAACTCAGTATAGGGAGAATTAAGTTATATGAAGTCGGTTAATCCCTGCAGGAAGAGAGGCCTATTAAGCAGGACTTGCAATGGGCRAAGTCCACTAGCCAGAAATCTATCCAGGGAAACCAATATTTACTAGGAAGTGCCTTTAACACCAGGCTATAGTTCTGTGCAGCAGAAACAAGAAATGGGATGTCTCTGCCTTCAACATCTTCCCAAAAAGTGTATTATTTCAAAGAGTGCATTGAGATACACTTTTATACTTGTTTGCAGCACTGAGTCAAAATCTGTAACTAGTCCTACCCCACAGAGTCCCAGTATTAAAAGGAATAAAGTTCTCCAGCACAATAAGGGCAGCATCAGGAGCCAAGTGGGGAGAAAATGAAGATGAGTTTCCCACATAAATCAAAGGCCGTATCTTTCTCCCACCTTTCTTGATAAATTCCCTTATAGTTAAGGATTCGAGCCTTTGCATCTACTAGCTGTTCCCATAGGAACGTTACAGAACCACAACTGCTCCCAACCTCATCTCCTTTCCTAATGGCAGAAATGCCTAATGAAGTCTTGCTCCTGCGCAGCAGGGCCATTACACACGTTTGGAGAGGTGATAAAGGGAACATTTCTTCTTCATTTCTTCTACTCTTGCTCCTTACAGAGATTGGACGGCAAGGAACTCTGCTCTCCTACACTCTGGTCCATCGAAAGGCTTAAGCTTCCCGATGCAAAGGAGGAAGATCAGTCTGGAATTCCTACTGTCAACACCAAAGCTGACACCTGGTGACACTGGCGAGATGGAAACAGTCCAGAAGACAACAGAATAGGAAAACAGGGTTTACTCACATCCCCACCCAAAGGATTTACTTCCTCAAATATTAATTCAAATTTACTACCGAAACCTCATACAGCGAAAGGGCAAAAAGCTCACGTAACTTCAGGAGCATTCAGTGTAAATCAGAGGCTTAAGAGTTGTGTTTTCTCACGCTAGTCAGCAATGGGAGTGTTTYGGCCTAACACCAGCTACCTTGCAGCCAGATGATTTGTAAAGCCAATCTATAATGAGGTTTTTCATGTCACAGAGCAGGTAATTGGAAGTGAAAAGGCTCCTGTTTGCCTTAACCACACCCTTTGGGGCATATGCATTCAAGGCACTTCATTTCACAGGCACAACAGGCAGGGCAGTGACACAAAAAGCAGAATCTCTGCAGCTGCAACAACGGGAGCAAGGACAACTTCTTCCCTTTCTGTGAAACCATTATTTTGCAAGCAGCACGCCTCCTTCCCTAGCCACACGCCCGTAGGATGAAAGGCCCCTTCCTCACGCACACATTCAGGCGGGAAGCAAGACTAGAGCTTTCTGCCACGTGCTGGCTGTTGTCGAGTCAAACCCCAGACACTGCCCTGCTTTCAGGTCCTTTCTTCCTTGCAGTCCCCGTCGTCGTTTACAACACAGAGAGGGCAGCAGAAAGAGATGAGCAGAGCAACTGGAGGAGCAGCTGGCTCTGCCCCTTTATTTGGCCAACTTACCTTGGAGACGCTACCGACAGCGGCGCACACACAGCAGTAGGTCTGGCATGAATTACCTTAATATCCTTTCACTTATTTTAGCACACACTTTAAAACCTAATACTTTATTAACTTCATTAGCTTTATTTATTGACATGCATACTCTAATTCCAGAGAATAAACAAAGCCACGTCCTTCCACGCTCCACAAACAACTCCATCAGCTCTGAAATATGTAAAACACCAATTTTAACTCAAGAAATATTTTTGGTTTAGAAGTCCTTACACATGCCATTCCACCTCCCTTTCTCAGCCTAATCTCACAATGCAGAGCAACAGCAAGTCCTTATCAGTCTCTCACCTCAGAAGTTCAGGTCCCACAAAGACGAGCTTCTCCTGGTTGCTGATGTTGGCCTTTGTCTTCATTAATTAGTTCAATTTACTTCTACATAATTCATATTGTCTTGAGTCAGTCATTTAACCGCACCCAACCTTCTCAAGCTCCTCAGTCGGCAGGTGCACACAAAAACAATGAAGAACAGTTCTGTCAGCCAAAAGACAGCTCACATCATGGGGCTGAATTCCTCTGCTGTTCCCACTCCCAGTAGGATGAAAACTAAGATTACTATGAATGTGATGTTAAAATCTTCTTTGGTGCCCGACCATCACCAAGCAGGTCCCGCACATCCCAAAGAGCAAAGCTCAAAGACGCAACACGCTTCACAGCCCCGACCCAACCGGAGGCTCTCAGGCCACTGCAAGCAAGGAAGGCAGCCCACAGTCACCCTCCCGGGCCAGCCTGCGAGCTCACGCACCACACGCCCAGATCGCACAAACTCTGCAAATAGAGCAGCATTCTCCTACAGGGCTCTGCACACACCGCTCTCTTACTCAGCTCTCAGAACAAGCATTTCTTTCTGCAGCATCCCACATGGCTCCCACCTCCAAAATATGCCTGTACTGCTTCTTCCACCCGCATCCAAGACGAAGACAAAGTCATACGATGGCCTCAGAGAGTCAAGTTCTTGAAAACCATCAGAAAGGTGCAGTTCTACACAGCAATGTGGAAAATTTATCAGCTAAGTGCAGCCACCAACGGCCCTTATCTAAGCTCACCCAGGCCTGTAACATCTGAAGACATCCAGGGCAAAACTGCATTTGTGCATCGCTCAGTTTCCACATTGAGGTCAATTTGATTACAGCCCCTGTTTGAGGTATTCAGAAGGGCTTGCTTTAGAGATTGGGAAGAATATGAGGCCTTTCCTGTTGTCCCCCAAAATCAATGAGGACAGAAGGCAGGTTAACACAAGTAAAATATTGATCCAGGATTAGGCATAAGATTCAGAGGGAAAAGAGTTTCTGGGGAAAAATACAACGGCTTTCTGGGGAAAAAGAGAATAGAATGAAAACTGAACAACACGTTCACCCCAAAACATCCCGCCCTGCAGACCTCTAACACCCCTGACACTCGAGGAAAGCTCTAGTCCTGCAGGTAGCTGTGTTTCAGACCATGAGCATAACACCCCGGGAAAGGCAGCTCTCTCCTCCTGCACATGCGCTCCATTATTAATGTGCCAAGTAATTTTAGCCACTTATTAACCTGGAAAAGAAGACTTGAAAGAGCAGCCTCTTGCTCTGCTAGAAACTGACTGAAAATGGCAAAGGTGAGGGCAAGAGCAAAGCCGCAGCAAATACAATTTAGCATTTCAGAAATCCGACATTATTGTTCAGGAGGCCTCTCCAGGGAAGAAAAGGACGAACTGCTACAGTAGTGTCTTTGGGAACAGTAGAGAGAAAAGACGTTCCAAATTCAGGTTTCTTGATTTTCTTTCAAGGAAGGAACTTAGGCGCCATCCAGGAGAACACATGGGATGTTTTTCACCTCCTCTGCCGAGGGGCCATGGGCGCATGTTACCCCAGTAAGTAAAAAATGAAGAGGTTTCCAGCAGAAAGTTCCTATTCAGCGATGTGGTTTTCACCAGCAGAGGTTTGGATGCCATGGAGATGGCGACAAACATCGGAATCAACACAACAACGTAACATAAAGGGCAATGCAGTTTAAAAGGTTAAATAGAGTTGGCAGACGGCGCAGTCACCCAGAGCACTGGAAACAGAAGGACACATGGCTGCGGTGGGGATCTCCAGGAGCAAACGGGACCAACCATCCTGGCAAAACGACCCGCCGGTAATCGAGATTTAGCTCCATTCTCTCGGGTCCAGCAACAGCTGAGCAACACAAAGTGGCCCCCTTACTCTTCCAGAACTCATTCAGTTAGGCAAACTGCACCAAGTTCACTTCATTTCTCACATCTGAATTTTCTATGATGTCGAACACTGGAATCCGAGTTGTGCTTCAACATTTTGGACATGAAATGTAAAAAACAAAAGTTGTGTGATGGTACTAGTTTACTTTTGAAAGCATGTTTGAAAGGTCTCGGTATGATTAAGAAGGAAATATGGCTAATCCTAATAACCATAAACACTGGCTAAAAGCATCTCATGTCTTCACAGGAGGAAGGGAATCTCATGCAATAAATTTCAGTGTTCAAGGAAACGGATATGCAATTAGCAGCACAATTCCACATCCAAAAGCAGCAGAACACTAAGCTTCTTATGAAGCTGACAGTGGACATTTGGAAAACAAATACCAAACACAAACACACAAAACCCATTTTTCATTGCTCTATCTGCCATGCATTTCATAGCAACTCAGTGAAAATCTGCATATCAGGTTATGGAAGTGATTCCAGTTTAAACGACTGCTATCTAGGCAGCAAGCTGAAAAGTCAGCATGCTGATCTGTCAGGGGAAAAGCAGGTAGAGTTCTCAATGCAGAAGCTTCTTGTTCCAGATCTTATATAATAGAGCTTTGCTATCCAGGGAGAACATCTCAAACCTCCTTCACCCACCTGTTTTTTTTTTAAATGCTCCCAACTCACTGTTGTTTTAATGCAGGAAAGATTACAAGATCCTAGGCAGGCTTGTAGAAGACTGGGGGCACACAGACTATCCTCTCTGCAAGGTCAGGCAGTTGGCCAAGCATCCTGGAGTCACCCCTGTCAAACACTGGCATTCACGTGCTTCCTACAGGCATCCAGCTCATCCTGCCTGCGAAGGCAAAGTACCAATGGAAATTATACTCATATTTGAAGCTTTCTGCTTTACAAGTGTTTTCTAGGTTACAAAGCTTAGAACCAGCATATCAGTCTTGTTTGTAATTAAATAAACACCCCCAAAACAATCCATACAGTTTTATTCCAACCCTTTTTTTTTCCCCCCCRAGGGTCTATATCCAAATGAATTAATTCCTTGGACGAAGCTGCCGAAGGAAGCCTCTGCCTGCTCTGGAACATAAGGGGCAATACAGTTTAAAAGGTTAAACATGGCCAAGAGGCGAGGCAGCAGCACAGAACCCTGCCGCTTTCTATACTAGGCACTATAAAAGCCATTCAACAGCTTCACCTTTAGCATTCCAGGATTAAAACTACCATCACAAATACAGAAGCAATCTCTAATTCACATAGATCGTGTGCCAATCCCAGGCTGCTCCGCTCAGATCTGACCAGGAACTCCAAACTGTTCCACAGAGAGGAGAGCGCAGACAGGCTGGGCTGCACGGCTGTGAGTGTCTCCAGCTCCTGTAAGACGCAAGCACTGTTTCCCGGATAATATGAAAATTTGTCCCGCCTTAGAGCAAGCAATGAGATAGACTTGTGGTAAAATGAATGGACGTTTACATTCCCCAGGTCCCCAAGTACATCCATACACTCGCCTGCGCATTAAACTTGGTTATTCCTGTCATAACTACAGGATTAGAAGAGTTCTGCTAAAGCTACATACAAAATTAAATGAAAACCTAATTTTGATTACCCAGGGGTAGTGGGTACAAAGTGAAACCCCGGCAGCTCCATCTCCAGGTGAGGTGGAACTTCTCTGCTGTGAGGGTGCCCGAGCCCTGGCACAGGCTGCCCAGGGAGGCTGGGGAGGCTCCTTCTCCGGAGGTCTCCAAACCCACCTGGATGCCGCCCTGTGCCCCGTGCTCCGGGTGCCCCTGCTGCAACAGAGSGGTTGGATTAGATGATCCCTAGAGAGATCTCTAGAGTACCTGATGAAGAAAGTCTTCCTAATACTTTTAAACAGTTTAATAGCCACATTTGCTCTTATCAGTCTATAAATATCAGTCTATAAAATAGACTTGGTTTACCCTGTTCCTCCTTGGAAGAGAGAACATGTATTTTTAACATAATTTTGTCATTTGAGGAAGTATTTTTGTCCTTCACAGCTTTCCTCCTGGAGTAGCATTTTTTTTTTTTTTTTGGTTATAAACTCTTAAATAATATTGCCACATAACTGTTCCTTTATCAGAATTCTAGGAGGGGAAGTGGTGGATGCAACATAGTAAAGTTCACCTTTTCGTTGCCTCCTTCCTGGCACAGGCTGAGCTGTCAGGGCTGACAGCAATGCCAATTTCTGTGATTTCTGATGTGATTTTACACACAATAATCATAAAGGTCTAGTCCTGCGGCTCAGTAAAAACGTATCTTGATCACGGACTGCACAGGTCTGTATTATTGAGGCCAGTCAGCAACATATGCCCAGCGTGTACCATCAGGTTTGGAATTTTACCTCTGTAAGATGTCAGAGTGACTAAAAACTTAGGAAATCAGCAGAGATGGTAACTCCCAAATCTGTTTCTTGCTTTAAATACTGGACAGAGGGGAAATTGTTTCTACTTCCTTCTGAAGGSCTTTTGAGAGAGAAGTTCCAGGCTGCACACGTTATTTATGAGCAGAGCAGCAGGTGCTGCTTGAGGCTCTGCACGGACCTTGGGCACGGACCTTGCCCCATCTGTTAGTGGCTCCTGGTCCCCTGGTCTCCTACAAGGGACACGTATTTACTAGGTTGAGGAGTAATATAACCAGGGACTATAAGCGCCCAGTGCAACTTGGATGGCACAGAAAGCTGATACCTAGGATAATGAATACAGCCAGACAACGTTTTCTATCTGGAAAACTTTCCACCAGTGCCCAATAGACATTCCCTTCTTCCATCACAAACTAACCTCCTTGGTGCAGACAGCACAGATGCCTCCTCACYTCATCCACGGTTCACAAAACCCAGTGTCATAAACCAAGAGCTTAAAGAATCCCTCTTTGCAAGAGCCACTTCCTACAATTTCATTATCTCCCAACCACTACTATTTTAAAACCACTCCGCCGGACCACAGGAGCTCAGACGCTTCTCCCCGCTACCAGAAAACGACAGTCAGCAAAAGGCAGCAACTCACCACCAGGTGACACGAGCTTTTATCCTCCTCRGCAAGCCAATCTCCCCCCGAGCGTGGCAGAGGTTACACTATGCCAGAAAACCATTTTCTGTGAGGAAGCCGGCCACTAACAGAAGGGAGATTTGTGACTTTTAGCTGGCAACACCTGCGAACACTCACACACCAGAGAAGCTCCGTATCTCTGGCAGGCACTCTGCTGCTTTCTGCCYGCACTGGGCTGGGCACCACGCTGCAGGTGAAGACCTGCACACTCAACAAGTGCTCCCTCTCCCTCGCAGGTGCCAACTGAAGGG